TTTTTTTTTAGCTCTGTATGTAGCCGTGAATGTCCTGGAACTTTCTGTGTGAACCAGGCTGGCTTTGATTTCACAGAAATCCACCAGTGTGTTCTCCTGCCCGAGTGCTACTCTATCTGGCCAATCGCAGCTCTTATAAAAACGCGTTATTATTGTTACTCTGGATGTGTGCACAGGCGGCGTGCAGGTGCGTGTGTGATACAGTGCGTGGGAGAGGTCAGTGTTGTAGCAGCTGTTCTATCTGTGGGACCCATGGAACCATCTCAATGCCTCCCTCTCCCTGCCCTGTAGGGCATCATGTGGTCTTACCTGATCTTGACTGTAGGAAGGAACAGGCTGACCTTGAAATCCTCATCCTCCTGCCTCAAGGGATCAGACCAGAGTATCTGTGATAGTGATAAGAAGCTGATGAACTCAGACAATGAACGATGCTGTCAGCCTTATTTGCTTTAAGTTTTTGTGTGGATGACTCTTGTTCTCTATTGAGTAAATGGCCAGGAGTGTGACTGTGCCATCGGACGAGTATACATCGGACCCGCATCTGTATCATCTGTTAACCATAGAGGGAAGCTCCCAGGTTTCACTGTTCCTAATGCGATGGCTTTTGTTTAGAAACATCCCAACTCTCCAGCAACGGAGAAGCAGATCAAATTGATCCAGACAATGGAGTACAACTTAGCACTAAAAGGGAAACCAAGACTAAACACAGGGCTCTTTTAGTACTGGCTGCTCTTGTAGAGGACACGTGTCTGGTGTTCTATCCCAGCAGATCTGACGCCCTCTTCTGATCTATTTAGGCACCAGACATACATGTGCTGCCTAGATGTAGATGCAGGCAAACTACTCATACAGATAAAATCAAGCCAAATAGCCAGGTGGTGGGGGCAAATGCCTTTAACCACCCGGAAGGCAGAGGCAGGCGGATCTCTGTGAGTTCGAGCCCAGCCTGGTCTACGGAGTTCCAGGACAGCCAGGGCTGCACAGAGAAACCATGTCTCAAAAAATAAAAAGAAAGGAAGGAAGGAATATAAACATAAAACATATCGGGTGATGTGCATCCTGGGTGGTGTCTATAGGTTCTGTCCAGATGCCACGTCTCTTCAGGAGACAGTTCCTGGAGCGCAGCTATGGGGACAGTGATTGTTATTAGCTGTGGTGGTTACAGGGCACAGTAGATCTCTTGAGCTCGAATTTATGAACCGTCAACAGATATTTGGTGGACACATGTATCTTCTTCTTCCGCCTTTAGGAGGGACTTTAAGAAGGTTCCAGTCTCTAGGAAATCGCTTCTTCCCAAGCCTCCACCCCCAGGCATTCAGCACCATGCGCCCCTGGACAGCGCCGCGAAGTAACGCTTCCTTCCGGAACCATGGCCTGGAGTCCGCGTTTCCTGTCGGAACCATTTGATAGCTGCACCACGTTTAGCGGGAGGAAACTGCTTTCCGGAGCCGGTAGGCGTTGCAGAATGATTGGCAACAACTATGGCCAATAAGGTTCGCGGTATTTCGAGTGGCGCTGACAGTGTCCAATAGACGCTGGCGTGGGCGGGGCGTGGGCAGCGGCTGGCAGCCCCCGGGGTCTCGGCTGGTCCGCTGCGGCGGGGTCCGAGCCGCGCGGCG